AATCTGTAACTACGCAGCTAGATGCCACTAAATCCTACACACTGGTCCTTTAAGTTATGATTGTTTTGTTAACTGTACAAAAGTTACATCATAAAAAGATTCTTATTCCACAGGAACATTTCAATAAATATGAAGATGTATTGGAATAAAGAAAGAGCACGGACAGCCTTTTTGCATGTTTTAAGCTGATCTTTCTCATAAACTACTATTGCTTTCTAATGTTGATCTTTGTGTTTTTAGATTATAAATACATTTCTCCTGTGTGAGTGGTAGTAAATTAAACAGTTAATTAATATAAAAGCCTATTTCTGCTGCTGGGGCTGTGTAAATTAATGAGTAGCTTCAATAGTTAAACCGCCACATGCTATTGGAAACTGCAGCTAAGATACTAGCAACTCTGCTAATCCCCTGAACAAGGAATAAAAAGATATTTTCAGAAAAGACAATCTTATCTAAGTCGTCATTTTGGAATATATTTACTCAGGTTTTTAATCAGTACAAGTACTTTTCAAGCTGGCCCCAGTCCATCAGATCTAGCAGTCTCATAGGATTTTCTCAGTGGAGGATAGGGACATATGTTAAGTATGAGAAACACATCTGTGTCTCTCACCAGCAAAATTTCCCTTTGACTTTTTCACCAGTGTTTGCATCCATCCTTCTGATCTTCCTCTGCAGGAGAGCCCTGATTTGCCTCCACGCTGTTGATCTTCACATTTTGACAGATCCTCGTTACAAACATAACCTCTCAGTTGTTACGTTCTTCGCCTCTCATCTTCCTCCTTTCCTCATTTTCTTGTGCCTTCCCTTTGTTCTGCTTCCCATCTGGCTTTTTTCTCAAAGTACTTCATACACTCTCCCTGTCTCTCTCTCGCTCTCCCTCCCTCCTCTCCCTACTGTAGACCATTTGGCACAAACCTCATCTCTCCTCCTCTCATCCCTCGCTCTCACCTCAATTTTCGGCTGTTGCATAATTAATTAGCAGCACTGTTCACTATCAATGCAATTACTCCAGAGAATGGAGAAAGGGAGAGAGAGGGGGGAGTAAAATGGGAGAACAGGGCCAAAATGGAGATGCCATGAAAAACATGGACTAAAAAGGAGGCGAGAGAGAAAGGGAGAGTGATTTTAGCCCTTAAAGGGATGGAGTCAATATGGGCTGAAATCAAAGTGGTAATTTTGACAATGCAAAATCCATTTGGGCTCAGGGATCCAGATGGAGACAACACGGGTTTGGTTCAAAATGGAATATGATACACACCCTCATTTTAGAAATAGACTCTCACAAGCAAGATTTTAGGTTTGTAAAATGACACACCAACAGGCTGTTCTTCTTCCCTGGGCCAGATGCTTAATACACTACGTAGATTCAGGACTAAACATCTGCATATGCAGAAAAGTTGAAATATCTATTCATCACGGCTGATTTATACATTTATATATCTGAGTCATTGTGAAAGCGTGTGTGTGTGTGTGTGTGCACGCAGGCCTAACGCCCATTCCCAAAATTATTTATGTCAACACTCCCCTGTTTAATCTCGTTTGGACATAACCCAGACTCATTCCATTCTTCATCTGGCACAGGCAATGTGGATGGTGTTACACACAGCCATATGTATCAGTATACTGTCTATTGCAATCCATAATAGCCTAAATAGGAATGATGATACATAAGTGGGTCAAATTTATGATTACTTTTATTCCCACAATTCTGTATAATATGGGTGGCTAACTATATAAAACAATCTGCACATGCTGGAATAAAATCAAGCTTTTAGAAAGAGCTATTTATTCACACAGCTATACATGCTATCAAAAGTGAGTTTAGGCTGTTGAAAGCTATGATGTCATGAAAAAGGCTGTGGTTTCAAATCAAGCGTCACACATGGTGTAAAGCACGCGTGAAGGCATGCACATTTTTAACAATAAACAGCAGATTCAGTGTCGAGAAGTATTTTTCTTTTGTCCAAATACATAATTTGTACATGTGGTCGCTGCTATTTCTTTTATATCTCAGTGACTGGCCCGAGGGGAGGCTCTACAATTACAGGTCAAAACAAGGTGACATATTTGTAAGTGATTGACCCAGAAGAGTGCAGAAGCATTTGCTGGAAATGACATTTCTGCTGTTGTCTGGTTTGTAACAGGTCCATCAGCTGCCATATTGCTACACCAGAGAAGGCATTTCAATTTACTAGCAGTAAAACCCACGGTATCACCGCCCGAAGATGACAAATTATTTATTGTGTCAAGACTTCCGTTTTCACTCCGTGCCATTTACTAAAGCCCCTTGTAAAAAAAAAAAAAAAGACAGAGAGTAAAAAATACCACTGTAGGCCCTTGTTTCATCCCATGTGGGAACTTTGATCATTTACGTGTAAATGGCCTTTAGCTGAGATTTAGCCAAGACCCATTACTTCCTCTGTGGCAATTAACAAAAAGCCAGTGCATTCAAGGATCGATGTCATTTGTCTGTCATTAATTTGTTAGCCAGACATCATATTACACTGTTGGGATGCTGGAGTCCAGTACTTCAACCGTGACTGAGGGATCTGGGGAGTGTGATGCATATGGAGAGGCTCACCATACCAAATCACCAACAGAGAGAAGATGTTCTCTGGGGTCTGACAACCCATAAATGACAGATGGTCTAATACGACTTAATTCCTTCCGCCTGTAATTCTTTGTCCTGTTCTTAACAATGTAATTGCAATTCAAGGCTGGATATATTTTCACATACAATGCAACTTGTGTCATTGTATGCTATTCCTGGCATTCTGCCACATTTCATTTCCACGCTCTGTCATGAACTGTCTGTTTGAATCCGTCTTCCTCACACTGAAAATAATAAATAGGATGTGTTTAAAAACATGTCAAGTAAAGAGAGACAGACATACAGAGAAAGCTATTTCAGTGTATCCTGTTTCCCTGTTCATCTGCGGCCCATTCAGCTTCATTTGATTGTAGTTTCTATGGCTTTACTTTCAGACATCCATTACTGAAATAGCAATTGTATGAGCATTAATGAGTGAGTCACACAAAAGGCCAGCAAAGTGGAAAGGAAAACAGTTTTAAAGGAATTTATTAAGACAACACACATACACAATGGTTTGCTCGCACACGCACATACACACAGAACTAACCTAGAAGGTATTCCTAATTACAGGCAAATGTATTCATTGATATTGTTGCAGCACTTTATCATCGGAGGATGTGATTTGCATTGAAATGTTTTTTTGCTGTTGTGTTAATTGTTTACTGTGGGCTAATTAAAGCCCGCCTGTCATTAACGATGATCACTGCTCTCTGCAGATGGAGGCAATGGTGACAGACCCCGACAGAGGGAGGACAGGGAACAAAAGAGCCTGACACAGGGAGGGAGGGAGGGAGGGAGAGGAGGAGGAGAGGGAGAGAGAGAGAGAGAGAGAGAGAGAGAGAGAGAGAGAGAGAGAGAGAGAGAGAGAGAGAGAGAGAGAGAGTGTCGACATTGTGGAAGGATCCATAGTTTTTTTTAGTCATGCTAGTGGCTCTGGGGATAACAATGTCTGTCTGTCTTGTCTGTCTGTCTGTCTGTCTGTCTGTCTGTCTGTCACCTGACATATCTCAACAACTATTGGATGGATTGACATAACATTTTTTGCAGCCATGGTCCTCAGGGGAGGAATCTTGTGATCCCCTGGCTTTTCATCTGGTGCCACAAGCCGGTCAAAGTTTTCCCTTATTTTTGGACAGGCATTCAAGGTTTCCTGATGGTGAATCCTAATGACTTTGGTGACCCACTGAGCTTGACATTTGGGGTTTTAAGTGAAATGTTTGAACAACTTTTGGATGGATTGTCATGAAATATGACACATAGATTCATGTCCCCCTCAGGATGAATTATAATATCTTTGAATATCCCTTAATTTTACCTAACTACCCCTTATCCTTTAACTCTTAACACTAGCAACAGGTCAGATTGTTTATTTGTCCAATACAGCCTCAACTGTACTTTGTATTTAGTTCTGACTAGCAAATGTAAGCCGTCTAACATGCTAAACTAAGATGGTGATGAGGGTAAACATTATGTCATCATCATTCAATTAATGAGATGAGCGAGCTGGCCGAGGGAGATGTTAAATAAATTATTTTGTAGATAATACTGTATATGTATCCTTCTGCACATGATCATGTTTTTAGAATAGAATTCCGAGCATGCACCAAGCGTGAACCTTTTGTGGCGTCACCCATTGGTTTGTGGAGTACTGTTTTGGAGTTTGGCGTTATGGTCGTAGCCATGACAGTTTGTCTGAGCCTACAGATGTGACGTACTGCGAGTTGAGCTGCTCTCATTGGCACGCCAGGCTCACCTGGTCACAAACAATCTCGTACTACAGCTAACAGAATCTTGCTTCACATTTGATCAGCACTGCCTTGATCTGAGTTTCATGAAGTGAGCTGGCTGGACTCACTGAGAAGAAGTCAATCACAAGGTAGCCACACCCTAAAGCATACCCTGCTTTATAGTCTATTTTACTATGAATTGGGCCATAATTTAATAAATCAAGTGAAAGTCAGGTTATTTCTCCATAAGACTGCATGGTATAGTTCTTTACTACAGCTAGTGGAGCTGACCATTACATAGAATGCAGATTTAAGACACTTCCGCGTTGGCTTCACTTTACAGACCCGGAAACTCTGGCCCTTATATATCCTGTCAATGGTGTGCTCGGACAGGAGGGGCTATTCATAGACGTTGTCAATGCGTATGTGAGAGGAAGAGAGAGACAGCGGACGAGAGCGGGACAAGGAGGGGCTGAACGAATCAATGTGCTGCACACAGCTCTACCATAAATTTAGATTTTACCCATTTAGAAAAAAAAGTCAATATGTGGTGGTGGCTGTTGATATTGATGCTGCCACAAATAAATCAATGTCTGGGAAACACTGGAGCATGTTAGCACTGTAGCTGTGGGTATGTTGCCATGCTAGTGGCTCCAAAGTACCACTGTGCGTAAGCTCACCTGGTAGAGTCCTCACTGCAGCAGCCATGGGTTCAACCTGTGGTCCTTTGCTGCGTGTCATCCCCTCTCTTTCTTCCCCTCTTCAATTGTTGGCCTTCATAGCTAATTAAAAAAAAAGAAGGAAAAAAGCCACCAAAAGATATTTAATAAAAATGAAAAACCAAATTCCACTTTGGAAATTGAGTCTTCATTTAAATTAACTTAAATAAATTAAGATAAACTGACATTTACAGCTCCAGTAAAGTTAGAGACATACATTCATAATACTATTCATTCATTCATCCATTTACCATACGACACTGCAGTATAACACAAAAGTGGAATGTTGTTTTTTACATTGCAATTTCCAATTTTAGATACCAGTCATACACTCATTGTATTCATTGTGTGTGTTTGTATGGTGTATTACGACCTTGGAATCATAAAGTCCTGTCTTGGCAAAATGTAATTCAGTGATAAACATCAAAGATTTGGCAGCAGTTGAAAAAGAAAACAACGCGTCTTTTTAACTATTTAATCACAGAAAGTGCAATTGCAGCTGTTGTAATAAGATGTGTGGAGTGTGTGTGTGTGTGTGTGTGTGTACTGATTGGGTGATGTTTCTGCACGCTGGCCTGTTTGTGTGTCTGACTGTGTGTAAAAGACAGAGAGGAGATGTGTGCGGCTCGTGTCAATCACCGTTAGCCCGAGTGGATGTGTTTGTTAGTGCATGTCTTTCTCCATCACTGAAAGTCCATCCACATTAGATCCTATGGCAGGATTAAGTGGCACTGCTGGAGGTACATGGCGGCCAGGAGTGGTTATATCTTCATTTACCGCTGGCAGCTGGTGATTTGTTCCTGTGCACATCTCACAGTTCTGTGTATGTGTGTGTGTGTCTGTATGCATGCATACACACAGTCAGGAGTAAATGGGGAGTGAAGAGATTTCAACTCAAGCTGATCGACTGTGTGTATCGCATGTAGCAATAGATATGCGTGTCTTTGCATGCGTGTGTGCGTGAGAGTTTGGAATAGATGGAGTGATAGATGGTAAATGTGAGGAGAAGGCTAATCTCTATTGATAAGAGAGGAAAGATCACAGGTGAAGGTTGCTGACGATCAGTAGAAGGCAGACCAGGTTGGTTCTCTAAAACCAATCAGCAGGAGGCACTTGGGAATGCAACTTACAAATGAAACCAGAGAAAATTAACTCCACAGTGGGACAGAGTGTTTTACACCGTGTGTGTAGATTGGTGTCACCTTTTAAAACGTTAAGACTCAACTGTATCACAACATATTCTGGCTTTGAGTTTCCATTTTATGCTACCTTATACTTCTACTCCACTGCATCTCAGAGGCAAATATTTTACTTTTTTTTACTTTATTTGATAACTTCAGTTAGTAGTTTCTTTGCATTTGGGCCATTTAGCACTTTTACTTTTGGTACTTTAGTATATTTTGACACTAATACTTTTGTGCTTCATTATTATTATCACTATCCATTAAAGGCACAAAGAAATCTGTCCTTTTTTTTGTGCCTTTAATGGATAGTGATAATTGAAGATAGAGCGGTAAGGACTATTTTAACACAGCGGTATTGTTACTATTGCCTAAGTTAAAGATCTGAGTACTTTATGTTTAATTAAATTCTGTAAAAGATTAGTTTTCAGTGTTATCTAAAAATAAAGATCACTATTACTTGCGACAAATAACATCAATATAATATCAAATAGTGCTGTGGGCGGGACAGACAGAGAGCTGCCTCAGAGCATGCATCACAACCGTCAGTGGTTTGACTCAAGCTGGCGACCTTTGCTGCATGTCAAACCCCTCTCTCTCCCTCCGTTTCCTGTCTGCCTCTTCACCTGTCAATATCCAATAAAAAAGGTAGAAAAAAAATAAATAAATCCACACCCAAAAAATAAAGAATTAGTGAGCTTTTGAGGTGCTGTTTCCTCCTGCTTGCAGTCTTTATGCAAAGATAAACTAATCTTTGGCTGGCTGTAGCTTCATATTTAGGCATACAGGCATGAAAGTGGTATTGATCTTCTCATCTAACTCTCAGGAAGAAAGCCAATAAGCGTATTTCCCAAAATGTCAAACTATTTCTTTAAAGGTAAATTGGTGTTTTGTTTGAAACACGGGAAATTAGTCTAAATCTTGGTCTATGCAGGATAGTCACAGGCCTTTTTCAGTCAGTACAGGACTGGTTAAACTGCCACTGTTACTGTTATATACTGTTGTATACAGTATGTGTATGCATATGCACCTTTAAGAGAGAAACATGAAGAAACACGCACGGATTGTTTTTTGAAGCCATCTGCTAATTTTACCGCCCCACGGCAAAAAACTAAATGACTATACATAAAAATAAATTCAACGGAATTATACCCACTGATGTGGGATATAAATTACACAGTTTGCAGCAGATGAGCCAACCCATGTTAATTTGGACCCAGCCATGCCTACCCATGTATGTCCTTCCTCGTCCAAGCTTACGATGCCAACTTCCACCAGCACCTGCTTCATCCCAGCTCCTGCCTGAACTAACAAAAACACTTTCACATCAGAATCGGGTTGTGTGTGACTTTTAAAAGGGAACAATAACGGTATGTAGCAAACACCAGGCTGATAGCAATGGCAAAGAAACGTTTCTTGTAATATGTTGCTGTACCAAAAATGTGCAAAAACTTCATTTCCCGACTTAAAAGCTGGGTAAACTATGTGCGTGTATCGTCCAACTGTGCCAAACAGCTCTTTGTCTATCTCGCTGCCCCCAGGGGTCCTGGCCCATATGCCTGCCTAGTCTGCTAGCCTGGTCACACAGGTCAGGACCCTGCCAGCCTCACTGGGACATGAGACTGTGTGTGTGGAATTGTATGCGTGTGTGTGTCCATCTGTTACAATTGAGGTGGGTTGTGTGACAGATCACCCCCTGACCCCACCCCTCTGGGAGAGGATGTGTGTGTGAATTGCTCTAGTTACACACTACAGATGTAGAGTGTGTTCACATGCGTCCCTCCTATGAACATGCAGCAGGCCCCATACTTCTGTATCTATCTTTATAAGCAATAGACGCTCCTGACCCCCCCCCCTTTAACAGCAACATCACCACCACCACTCCTTTCAACACACACTCCCCCCCTCCTCTCGTCTATCTGTGTATTCTGAACCAGATGGGGTGCCAGGGTCACCTCTGACCCCCCACCGCACTGTGACTGATGGGACAGCCCAGCCCTGTCACCCCCCTCTATTGTACCCTGATGGGCATCTGACACTGCTTGGGCCCATTTATTAAGAACACTACCACCATGCACCTGAGCTTCTTAATAAGTCTGCCAATCAGTGTTATCCTATGGGCAATACGTTTCAGCAACTCTTTGTTGTTCCAAAATTTATCAGAGGGGTATAATCAGTCATCTGTCATGTGGCACCTGAGCTTTATAATAATGCTAGCAATCAATGCATTCGGCATTAGGAAGCAACTGACCTGTAGTTAAAGGGTTGATTCACCCAAATGACAAAAAAACATTTTCTCACTTACCTCTAGCGGTACTGAGCTACGCTGACATTTTGGAATATCGATATCTGAGAGTTCTGCTTCCATCCCAACACCATGGGGGTGCATGCTATATCGTTTGTGGTTTTATTTAAAGGTCAAGTGTGGAACATTCAGGAAGATCTATTGGCAGAAAAGGAATAATATACATATCTATGTTTTCATTAGTTTATAATCACCTGAACATAAGAATAGTTTATAAAATAGTTTTACAATAGTGTTATCATTACCTCAGAATAACATGTTTTTATCTACAGAGGGGCCCGCTTTGAACCACAATGTTTCTACGACAGGCCAGAATGGAGAAACCAAACACTGGCTCTAGATAGGGCGTTTTGCAATTGTCACTAGTTTTGCTGCCATAGTAGTGTTTCCTTGGAAGGGGAGGGTGAGGCGAGTTGGTTGCAATCTGAAACTACATTGCTAAATGCTGCTAATTTCTACACACTGGTCCTTTAAAAGAATACATAAAAACCAACTGACAGCCACGTGTCTTCCTAGAAAAAGTGTCTGAATCACCCAAGGACAGTTTGACAAAGTGACAGTTTTATAGGGACTAATTCTTCACTGGAAAGTAGTTCCTTTGAAAGTTGTGATGTGTGTAGATTATCCATAGTACTGAGACACTTAACTGAGATGGGATAAAAAGAGATTGAGAAAGAGAACATTTTTCATTTTTGAATCACAATTCACAAAAATGAAAACTTAATTCACCTCTGTTGCCGTGGTTCTCAACCTGGGGTCCGGGGACCACCAGGGTTAGAGGGTTCAAGGGGTTCCCCCGAAAATGGGGAATTATTACACTGGCTAAAAGTTAGCCCAATGCGAGAATGTATAAAAGGTCAAACATTTCACACTCCTCACTGTTAATCTGCCAATCTACAGTATAGATGGGGATCCCTGAGACTACATCTAATCAAATACAGATCTGCAGCCTGATGTGTATCTATTTGGGGGTCCTTGATACCAAAAAGGCTGAAAACCACAGCTCTATTGGACTAGGGTGTTGTCAGAAATTCTAGGGATCTCAAAACCATAGCACATAAAACTAAAATGATCTGCATACAGGTATAAGTGAGAGAGATTTCATAATTTTCTGTGAACTGACCCTTTAAACTAAGAGTTAAGCTGTAACCCAAAAATCCCTCATCTACAGACATACAACGTGGCAATCTATGTTTATAGTAGCTTTATGACAGTTTCTACCAGACATAACTGCATTTTAATCAAAAGAATGCACTTCAGTCTGTCTTTAATAATTCTCTGTAACACTACATTCATCGCTGCATTTGTATCCATATCTTTCCATGTGTCCGCATCATGAACTCTTGCCAGGAGGTGGAGCGCTGCTATTTTTGTGATGTAAAGTGTACATCAAGAAGGAGGTGGATGTTTGTCTCACGGAATGTGAGGGAATGCCTCATGCTAACGCTCTGAGACAAATTAGCATACAGATTCAGCCGTGGCTGTTGTAAATCCATTTTTCTCCTTGCAGATATGTAATAAACACCTTCTCTGGTTATGAGAACTATTTTTTTCCCTTGTGATGATGGCTTTTTTCC